TTTCGGCTTCCTCTGAAAATTAAAAAAACGAAGAAGGGAGGCGGAATTTTGAGGAAATCAAGAGGGTTCCTGTTCTAAAAAATTAGGGTTCAAAGCCTAGGTTTTAAATCCTAACAAAAACACAAAATATACTAAAGCGAGGGAGAGAATGATTGAAAATTAGAGAAAAAGATAGCACCTTGTTTAGGTTCGGGTGGGCTTAGCGTCTTCTGGGTCTTCGTTTGTCTCTACTTATTCCGCTTTCCAAATCGTAGAGAGGGAGAAGCTTCTAGGGGAAACGCTGTATAGTTGCTATTTTTGGGTGTCTCAAGGTCTCTTTTTTTCGGTTTTTGATCAAAAGGTGGTTGCTTGGAGTGATCTGGGGTCGAGTCTTGGCAGAGTAGTAAATGACGGGACTAGTTGGCAGCGTTTACAGTGGAGGGAAGAGACAGGGGGGGCGCTGCAATTGATCTAGGGCTGTAAGAGAGAAGTGATTAGGGTTTAGGCGTCGAACAAAAGGAGGAAGAAAAATAGTTTACGGAGATATAAGGGGATTTCGGGATAAATCCGAGTTTTAAGGAGGTAATTTTCTAACCTTCATCGATTAAATCCTTTATTTTTAATTGATTAAGTCCAGAAATTTAATATTTACGTTACATAAAGACTAAAACTTGTTAGAGTGTTTGATTATGCCCTCAAAAATTGTTGATTGATTCGATTAAGCCCTTCGAAATTTCGCCTTTTTGATCAATTTGACCTTTTGCTGATTAATTTTACAATAAAAATCAAATCTTTAGCTCAAAGGTGGGATTTTGATGAGGGTAGGGTGCTAAAAATGTAATCTTTGTGTTGAAAGATTAAATCTTTGGAGTAATTTGTGAATAAAAATTGAACTTTTAAGTACTTTTTGTAAATAAAGATTAAATCTTTTAAGTAAAAGATGAAACCTTTGAATAATGTGAAATAAAAATGAAATCTTTAGAGCAAAGTTTGGCCTTTAGTCCATGATTTATGTGTAGATCTTACTCAATTTAAGTTCTTAGCTCTTTTTAATTAAGCGAATAATTTAGGTTGTGAATATTTTTAAGAAAAATGAAAAGTGCTAGTTAAGCATTCGCATTCATGTTTATTTTTTTCATAAATTATTGCAAATTACTATGTGCATTTGAGATCAATTAAAGTGACTCCCGTGATGGGAAAGGCGGGCGGCTTATTCATGCGTGTCTAAGTTTGCTCGCCTTCTCCCGGAGGCTTGGAAATGTCCGGAGACCGTTTACCATTTATTAGGAGGCGATCAAAGTTGCTCCTCGTATAAGTAATGGGTAATTAAAATTGAAATCGGATTTTCATGCATCATGTGCATCCATGCATTTCAAGACCAAATCCAGTGATTAATCAAAGATTAAAATTCAAAAATTTAGATCAAGATCAAGATTTAAGAAGTAAGAAAAGGTAAATCAGTAATAAGTAACTTAATTCAGGGTAATTAAGTCAGTCAGTAATTAACTTAATTCAGGGTAATTAAGTAATTTAGTTATTAACTTAATTCAGGGTAATTAAGTAATTTAGTTATTAATTTAATTCAGGGTAATTAAGTAATTCAGTAATCAACTTAATTCAGGGTAATTAAGTCAGTAATTAACTTAATTCAGGGTAATTAAGTAGGTCAGTTATTAACTTAATTCAGGGTAATTAAGTAATTCAGTTATTAATTTAATTTAGGGTAATTAAGTAGTTTAGTAATCAACTTAATTCAGGGTAATTAAGTTAGTAAGTAACTTAATTCAGGGTAATTAAGTGAGTCAGTTAGTGACTTAATTCAGGGTAATTAAGTAAGTCAGTAATCAACTTAATTCAGGGTAATTAAGTAAGTCAGTAATCAACTTAATTCAGGGTAATTGAGTGAGTCAGTAACCAACTTTAATTCAAGTTAATTAAGTCAATCAGACGGTAAACAACTTAATTCAGGGTAATTAAGTAAGTCAGTAATCAACTTAATTCAGGGTAATTAAGTAAGTCGGTACTTAACTTAATTCAGGGTAATTAAGTAAGCTGGTAAACAACTTAATTCAGGGTAATTAGGATCGACTTAATTCAGGGTAATTAAGTTTAGTAAGAAGCAAAGATTAGGGAAAATAAATTGGCTTAGTTCATGGTAATTGAGTCAGTTAAGAATCAAAGAAAGATAATCAGTAATAAGGGTTTAATTCAGGGAAATTGAGTCAGTTAAAAATAAAAAAGAGAGAATTAGTTGTTAACAAAATCCAAAAAAGAAAGAATAGAAAACCCTTTTCGAAAATTAAAAAAGAGTTTGTGCTTGCATTCGTTCTCTTTGGTTTTTCGAAAGACAAAAATCAATTAATCAAAAAGAGTCTTTCTCTCAAAGTTTTTCAAAAGAAGGGAAAATTCCCGACAGATAACAGTTTTCAAGAAAAATAATTGTTTTTATGGTAAGTTTTAAAGAAAATCCTCATCATGAGGAGCCCAAAAAGAGAACAAAATAAAAAATGGGAAAGCTCCCAACATTCTTATTTCGAAAATTCAAAACCCATTTTTGCTTGTTTATTTTGCTTGAGTTATAGGATTAATAAAAGAGTTTAAGGGCATGAGTATTTAAGAATACAGACAACCGATAATAGAAACCCACAGTAGTCTAGACTAGTCAGTGCCGTCTTTGGACGGGCATCGTGGGGGTGCTAATCCTTCCCCACGCGTACCCGACTCCCGAACCTTTAGGACTCTGGTTAATAGACCGTGTATTAGGTTTAGTGTTACCTTCGCCAAGCTTAGGTTAACGTTAGGCTTAAAAATCTGATAGGTGGCTAATCACACCTAGGTTAAAAAGAATTAGTGGCGACTCCATAGTCAAGTATCTTTTAAGTCGTTCAGCGGTAGGGTTCGGTCACCCCCGGACCCAGACGTTGCGACATACTTATGTTTGTTTTTCACCCAATTGCCCTTAGATGTTGCCATATGGCCAAACCATGACCACAAAGTTTGCCAATAAATAGGGGGTCTCCCATTCATATGCATAATAAGATTTGAGTTGAATAATAGAAGCACTCATTCTCTCGGTCTAAGCTCTCACTTGTTAACCTTCGCACTTACTCACACACTTTGATCTAGATTTACGAATCACAGGTCAAAATTAACCTGACATGACTTAATCGCGGCAAAATTGGAGTTGGTCTCCTCCTTTTGAGTCATTAAGAAACGTAACAATGCTTAAATTGTCCGACAGAATTTGCATTTTAAGAGAATTTGGGTCAACCTCCCCATATCCGCACTGTTTCAGAAGTTGAAGAGCCAGATTTTCAAATGCAGAACATTCTGCGACAAGGGAATGATGCAAGGACAGTTCATTGATCACTTAAGGCGAGAACTCGCCAGGTATAGTAAAAGATAGGATCAAGATCACAAAATATAGCCCTAGTCATACTTTCTGCGTGTGGCCCCTTTCTCGTGATGCCATCTAAATTGCACTTTAACCCTATGAGGGGTTTCTTCCAAGAACATAACACAGGGTAGTCTTCAACAGCACACGTTGGTTTGGGGAAATCTGTTTCATTCATGAGGGATTTTGGAAGAGGGACCATCACGACTTCTTTTTTCGTTACCATTCTGTATGATGCTTCAATCTTCTTATCATCCTTTGTAGAATAGACATCCCTCAGCCATGCCAACATATTCTCCCCTTGACAATGGGACGGCCCTTTTGCGGAATGGCAATTGCTTTGGATAGTTGATGTAAAGAAACAAGGGAAAAATGTTGAAATGCTACATTCATACATTCAGAGATGCCATTCGCAATCGAAGAGAATAAGAGCAGAGGAGTACTTGTATGTATTAATTTCTTAAATATTTAATTAGGAGTTTTAGGCAAAAAAAAAATCTAATTTAATAGGATCAAATGCATATTTCACAAATTTTAGTGGGGTCAATGTAGGAATTACTACAATTAAAAATTTTCAATTTTTACAAGCCGATGAGAGGCCCAAGATCTCATGAAATGCATAAACGACTTCCCGTCGCCAACTACATGACAATAAGGCTCCGTTTGGTTCATGAAAATTAACTTCCAGAAACTAATTTCTACATTTTCTGGTGTTTGGTTCATGGAAAATGGGCCATTCAACGGAAAATAAGTTGTTGGTCAATGGAAAATACACCCGCTGGAAAGGTTCCGCAAGGCCACGCCATCAACATGGTTCCTTCACTGCAAACCCTGGGTCAATATTTCAACACTACATAAGCAGCCACTGCTCCCCACCCTTTTTCCCGACCACTACTCTTCCAACTAGCCTCGTCCTTGCCATCTTTTCATTTTTCCGATGAAACCAGCGGTCTTTCCATTCTCAATTTCCTCCTGTAGTCCATCTTTTTTCTATCTATTTATTTAATTGCCATAAAATAACAAAGCTTCCACGTTTTGTTTTACTCCTACAACTATTTAAGTCTTTATTGTATCTAATCATCCTTTTACTCCTACTGGTTCATGATGTTGTATATACATATGATTTTCAGCAAAAAAGGCCTATAATTTATGTTGTGTAATGTGAACACCAAGTGTTTGATACATTGCTTGAATGGGATCTTCATTTTCTTTGTGATAAATGACTTCATGGTGATTATTCATAAGATATTGGGTGCATGAAATAGGAGAGCCTGCTTGATTTTTCTTCTTATAAAGTGATGCTAATTATTTCTTCACTTGTTTTTTTTTTTTGTTGAATTTTCTTCCTTACTGTTTTGATGTTATAGGATACTAGTCATAAACCCGCGCTCCGCGACGAGGTTTTGAAGGGAATAAGGAAAGTTTTTTTTTTTGAGAAAAATTGAACATTTCATTTCATTTATAAATCTGGATTACAAACGGGTAGAGAATCTCCACTCCAAACACGATTGAGACCAACTTCACAACTAACGTGAACCAGCTCATGTGCAAATCTATTAGCTAAACGATTTTGTATACCGCAAATTACAGCTAGAAAAAAATGAACTAATTTCTCTAATTTGCTCTACTAAAATCCCCCCCCCCCAATCCATAGTGAGGGCTCTCTCTTATTGATCTCACTAATAGCTAATACTGAATCACTCTCCAAAGAACAATCCATAATACCATGCCAATAAGCAAGTAACAAGCCAAATCTTATTGCGTATATTTCTGCAAACAAAACATTTGGAACCTTACTAATCTGCGCAGTCGAACATACAACAACTTGGCCATGTTCATTCCAAACAACTGCTCCTAACCCAGCCTCTAGGCGAAATGAATCAAACGATGCATCTGTATTGACTTTAAAAGATCCCGCATATGGAGGAGTCCAACCTTGACTTGATATCACTCGATCAGATAATTGTCTGCTCCTAACATTGGATTGCTCAACCTCCAGAACAAGTCTCGCAACCGACCTAGCTATTGATGTTGGAACAGCCACAACCTTATCATGAAAGGCCTTATTTCTATTTATCCAAATAAACCACAACATAAAACATAAAATCGCCATGGAGTTCATCTGTTTTACCTTCGATAAACATGCTGCCCAAAAATCATCTTCATTTCGCCATGTTGGCAAACAGGCCAACACCCTTGGACAAGATAACGACCACACTTGATAGCTGAAAGGGCACTCTAAAAAAATGTGAAGATATGATGATTCGAGACCACCACACACATCGCAATCCACAGGTAAATCAACTCCTCTTTGCCGCAATAGCTCTTTCGAAGGTAAAATATTGGATACGACTCTCCACGTAAAATAGTTTACTTTAGGCAGTAATTTTGCCTCCTAAATCAGTCTCCATTTACCATCCCTTGTTACCCTGTTAACATTTGATCTTCCTAGTAACTCCCGAGCAACAAAATACCCGCTCTTGACATTATAATACCCATTGTTAGTGTAACTCCATATCAACACATCCGGCATAATGGAATAATGTAATGGGATGCTTAATATTCGCTCAACATCATATCAACGAATAATTCCTTTACCAGATCAATTTCCCATTGCCCATTCTCATTGAACAAAGTCGAGACTGGATTGCTAACACAAATTGTCCCAGGTCGTGGTTGAGGTCGAAATTCAGGAGGAGAATTTAGCCATTTATCCCTCCAAATGTCCACACTTTGTCCATCTTCTATCTTCCAATGACATCCTGATCGAAGGACCTCTCTTCCCGCCAATAAACTTCGCCATACAAAGGATGGATTTGATCCTAAAGTAGCTCGCATAAAAGAGGATCCTTGATAATATTTTCCTTTAAAAATTCGCGAGCAAAGGGAATTTTCATCTCTTATTAGTCTCAAACACTGTTTTGCTAATAGGGCCAAATTGAAAGCCTCGAAATCCCGAAAGCCTAGCCCCCCATCTAACTTAGAGACACATAAGCTAGCCCATGTTTTCCAATGTATCCTTCTCCTACTATCAGTACTACCCCACCAAAACTTAGCTATAATTGAGTTAAGTTCCTGAACAAAAGTCTTCGGAAACTTAAAACAACTCATCAAGTAAGTTGGAATCGCCTGCGCCACTACTTGGATCATGACCACCTTACCAGTGATTGAAAAAAGTCTACCTTGCCATCCTTGTATCCGTTTCCATAGCCTGTCCTTCAACATTTGCAGCTCAATTTTCTTATTTCTACCAATCATAATCGGCGCTCCTAAATACTTATCCCTAGCCAAAATCTTTTGTACACCAATTCTACGCATAATCGAATCCAGTATACAATCAGGTGTATTACTACTAAATAGAACAGCTGATTTATCGATATTTATTTTCTGCCCCGAGGCCTTTTCAAATTTTGTGAGAATATCCAATAAAGCTTCACATTCTTCCAAACTTGCTCGAAGAAACAAAAGGCTATCATCAGCAAATAACAAGTGTGACACTCTTGGTGAAGCTCTAACTATCGACACTCCTTGTACTACTTTTGATCTCTCAGTATGCTGGATTAGACTTGAAAATCCCTCCATACAAAATAAGAAAAGGTACGGTGATAACGGATCTCCCTGCCGGATACCCCTACTAGGCTGAAAAGCACTTGATTGGACTCCATTAATTAGCACCGAATAAGATATTGTTGTAACACAAGCCATCATAAGCAAGATCCATCTAGCAGAAAATCCCAGCCTACTCATCACTCATTCTAGGAAAGACCACTCCACACGATCATAGGCCTTGCTCAAGTCCAACTTAACTGCCATGTGTCTTTTTCCTCCTGATCTCTTATTCTTCATATAATGAATGGTTTCAAAGGCTATCATTGAGCTGTCAAAAATTTGTCTTCCCGGTACAAAAGCAGTCTCGTTTGGACCAATTATTTGTGGTAATATAATCTTCAGACGATTCGCTAAAACTTTAGAAATAATTATGAAAATAACATTACACAAGCTAATTGGTCTAAAATCTTTCGCAGAGGAAGGGTCATCACATTTTGGTACAAGAACAATATTAGAATGGTTTATATCTGGTAATATTGTCCCATGATTAAGGAACTGAAGAATCGAATGGCGGACTTTCTCTCCTATAATGTGCCAAAAAATTTTGTAGAAAAATGGAGTCATTCCATCCGAGCCTGGTGCCTTGTTCGAGCCCATCTCAAATACCGCCACCCTTATATCCTCAATCGTAAACTCTTGATTCAAAAACACATTCATCTCAGGCGTCACCCTTTAATCTATCATATGCAGCACATCCATTACATCAAAATTTGGAGGATTTGAAGATGTAAATATAGCTTTAAAGTAATCACAAATTACTCTTTCAATACCAGCTGCATCCTCAACATTATCTCCATTTTCATCCTTGATCGACCCAATGTAATTCTGTATGCGCCTAACAGTAGCTGCGTTATGAAAGGTTTTCGAGTTTCGATCACTTTCTCGCAACCAGCTAATTTTAGCCCTCTGCCGCCACATCACTTCTTCCTTGTCATAAAGCTCATTCAAAGAATCCATACACTCATGTAAAGATTGTGGGTTTGCCCCATATTGAACTTCCCTATATAATCTGTCCAATTCCTTTCTCTTTTGCCGAATATTATATTTAACACTTCCAAACACTCGTTGATCCCAGGAACTCAATACTTCCGAGCAATTTGAAATACAATTTTTAATATCTAAATTGACATTCATATTCCTTGCGGAACATAATACAGAATTAAAATTTTCATGCAAGGCCCATATATCTTCAAATCTAAACCGTTTACAAAAGGAATTACTAATATTTGGCCTATCTAAACAATGAATCAAAAGAGGCAAATGATCAGAAACCGAAGTACATAAGTGATCAACATAAGAGAAGACAAATTTATCAAGCCATCTATCAATAATAAAGCAATGATCCAATTTAGCAAACTGAATTTCCCCTCCTAATTTCCTAGACCAAGTCAATCTCGGACCTTTAATTGGAAGTTCTTTAAGCTGTAAATTATCAAGTACCTCTCGAAACGCATCCATCTGCCTCTGAGGTCGAATTGCGCCACCAATCTTATCCTCATTCGATAGAATTTCATTGAAATCCCCCGAGCAAAGCCATGGCATTTCAGACTGCTCACCAAGTAAATTCAACAGACTCCACGTTTCATTCCTTCTTGACGTTTTTGGTCTTCCATATAGCCTCGTGAATCGCCACTGATCTCGTGGTGAAGATTCGATTATTGCATCAATATGAGACAAAGAATATGAAGTAATAGAAACATAAATACAATTATTCCAAAATAAGGCTAACCTTCCTGCTCTACCAATGCTACTTACAGCAAAACACGAATCATAACCCAAAAAACAACGCACCCACTCCATCTCATTACTAGATTTCTTAGTTTTTGAAAGAAATACAAGTTGAGGTTTATTACAAAAATTAAATTGCGTAAAACATGAACTGTCCGCCGAGCTCCAAGCCCGCGGCAGTTCCAAACTAAACACCTCATTTCCCCTGGCAGGAATGATTCTCCTTGATCATTCCCGCCTTAACTTGATCGCTAAAATAACGCCCTTGTACAGCACCATTGTAGCCATTCAAACCATCGCCTCCAGCCTCGTATTGATCAGCACCAAGACTGATATAATCTTCCCCAATCTGTCTTGCAGCAGCAGCAATAAAACCATCCCTGGAACGTTTCCTCCCTTCATTTGGATCAGTATGAGGAACTTTAACATCCGATGAAAGCCTAATCAAATTGTGACCCAGCCTCTTAAACTTTCGAATTCCCTGATGAGAAGCACCTTCCCCAGCACCAACCACAAACGGCGCCCCTTCTATAGTCTCATTCATCATGTTAAAATACTCCTCTCCTGGACCCCAGTAAGATATAGCCTCATTAACATCTGCCCTTAGCTTTATCTTTTTCCCTATATGAAGTCCAGACCCATAATCGTAAGTAGATCCACACTCCATCCTGGGTAGCCCAATCCCAGGAATGTTAGCATACAATTGAACAAAGAGTTTTCTATATTTCTAATTATATAGAGATAGCAAGATCTTAGTCGGACAAATAGAACAAAAAATACAAAAATAAAAGTTAACGTGATCAGACCAAAATTATGCATCTTTTTATGGTCATTTTCCTATGCTTTTTGGGTATTTTATGCTTGATTACGCCTTGTATTTGGTATATTTGTGTTTATAGGTGTTAAAGGGAAGAAAAGTGCAAAATCACCACTTTTGTGCCTTTTTGGAGCCTTTTTGCATGATTATTTACACAAATATTTTCCAAGGACAATTTGGAGGAAGAATGGAGCCAATGTGATCGTGATTGAAGAGCTTGAAGAGTCAATTTTATCACCATAAGATTGATTTTCAAGAGTTTGAAGCAAAGGAGCAAAGTTGAAATTCAAGGCAAGAAAACATGTCAAGAAGTGTCATAGCACTGGAGTACATGGGTCGCGAGGCAAACCACATGGGGCGCCAAGCATACCACATGGGCTCCCAGCGCTAGTCGGACGAGCCACCAGCATCAGCATGGGCGTAGGAGACCTGGGGCCTGAGGCAAACGCCCTGGGCGCTCAGGCCTGCGACATGGGCGCCCAGGGGGAGTCGGGGCCAGCCATGCGCGCGCACCAGCAAGCATTCCGCGTGTCTTCACCTTGAAGCCCCTTCACTTGTTTCCAGATTTGGCGACCCTTCTGTATTTTGGCCATAACTTTTGATCCAGAACTCCAAATGAGGCAAATGAGTAGGCGTTGGAAAGCTGACTTCAAGATCTACAACTTTCGTGTTTTGGTCGAAGCCCAGTTTTGCCGTTATCGTGGACGAAAATGCCCCTGAAGTTTCTGCAGATATGATGGACCTTGGAAAGCCCATGAATCAAGCCCAAGATGATATGATAAACCCTAATTCGGTACTAAGGGATAGTCCAGACTTGGAGGACGACTTTAAACCTAATTTAAGGTGGTTTAATGAGCTTAAATTACTATCTTGTCCTAGGTTAAGTTAGTCCTAAGTTTCTAGTATAAATAGCCACCTTTTCTCTCTAGAAAATGAGAGTTGGCGATTTAGATTGAAGATTGGAGCTAAGGGAGCCGCCGGCCATACTCTAGGTTTTTCTATTCCTTTTGATGGCTACTCAATTCATGAGTAGCTAATCTTTTATTTCTCCAATGTAGAATCTTATTGATCTCTTGACATTGAATTTATGGGGAGACTCTTATTCTTAATAATTTGATTTCCACTTGAATATGTTTCTTATCTCTATACTTCATTTTATGTATTTATATTTTGATGGATTTGGAGGCCTACTTATCTTGATAATATAAATGCTAAAGTTAGATTCAAGTAGCTTGAGTCAAGCTAAAATTGGTCCAAGTAACAATTGTAATTCTAGAAGTCCTAGGTTCAATGGGATATCAAACCTTGTTGAAATCTTTAGGCCGAGATGGAAATTGATGTAGGCAAGTTTCGTATTGATTTATCATGCATGTGGATTAATAACACCTAATGCTTGTTCTAGAAAGGGGTGAAACCTGGATCAGAACATTAGAGGTTAATTGTCAACGAGATGCGGGTTAATCTTCTTAGCATGTTGGAATTAGCATCACATCTGTTCCTATACCAATTATTCAAGTGGAGTTGTTTAAGATGTTAGAGAGATTATTTTGTTCTAAGGAAAGTTGAAGCCTACGTCTTAGGATATATACTACTTTGGAATAATTTATGATGCTTAATTGATTGGCAATTATTATCAAATTCATATTTTGTGTCGATGATCCATGTTAATATTGTCAAGGGTGAAATAGATTCTATATTGGAGGCTTGTTTACATAGTTGATTATTCATTTTACTTTGCTTTTAATTTATTTTGTTAGTTTTAATTTAGAATTATTAAAATCTCTTCTTTCGATTTACTATCTTTAACATAATTGATTAGTGAAGAAATTATCCTCTCTCCCTGGGGATTCGACCCCTACTTACCCTAGCTAAGTAGTTATTATCTATTTGTTATTGGTTTGTGGGGAATTATCTTGTGATTTGATCAACGACCGATCATAACGCGTTAAATTGTTCAACCTATAATTATAAAGGATTAAATATTCTAAAGTATAAAAGTAACAAATTAAGCTTTCATGTCCTTATGAAAGCAATTGATCATGCAATAACCTTTCAACCGACACTTGAACAACCTCAATCGGACAAATGGACCGAAAATTATACAATAATAAAAAGACCGGCAACTGAAACCACAAAATTTCAGAAGCATTTTTTAGAATCAAAACATTAAAATTGGCTTCTGAGTTCTTAATGAAAGTTGTAGATCATGAAATTATCTTTTAATAGACACTTGAATCACCTTAATAAGACAAATAGAACAAAAAATACAAAAATAAAAGCCAACGCGTTAAATCGTCCAATCCATAATTGTAAAGGATTAAATAGAATAAAGCATAAAAGTATGAGGATCATTTGATAAATAATCCAAAAAAATATTTGTTTATGGAGACCAAACATAAAAATTACCTCTTCAATCCTTCACGAGCCGCATTAATCAAATTCAGCTTTCAAGCCCTTAATGAAAGTCGTAGATCACACAATAACCTTTTAACCGACACTTGAACAACCTCAATCGGACAATTGGACCGAAAATTATATAATATTACATAGACCGGCAATCGAGACCATAAAATTTCAGAAGCATTTTTTAGAATCAAAACATTAAAATTGGTTTGAGTCCTTCATGGAAGTTGTGGATCATGAAATTACCTTCTAATAGACACTTGAATCACCTTGATAGGACAAGCAAAACAAAACATAGAAGAATAAAAGTCAAAACGTTCAGTCATCCAACCCATAATTGTAAAAGATTAAATAGCATAAAGCATAAAATTATGAGGATCATTTGATAAATAATCCAATAAAAAATGATTTGTTTATTGAGAGTGGGATCCACCAAATAGTAACTTTATCATAAAGTTCCAAAAACGGCCTTAACAATCAACAGTAATAACGAAATTATTGAGCATAAAATTACCGAAATACCCCTAATAATTTGTTCTTGGATGAATGTGGTGCATTTTAAGGTTGGACAAAAGGGTAATTCCATTATCAACTTTAATATATGTTATATATATATATATATGAATTTTCAAGAAATAATTAAAAAAACCTTTAGTTTTTCATAATGTTTGAATTCTTCAATATTAATTGAATATATTGATATTTTAATTGGTGAATAAAATGCTTAAAAGTATGAGCAACAAGCTTTTCTTATACATATCAGCAAGTTAATGAATAATGACAGAGATACAAGCAAATTTTCGAAAAGCAACCAAAGAAAATATTTTCATTTTCTATAGAATTGTCCAAACAATAGAAAATTTCATATTTTCCAGAAAACATATGTATTTTCCAGAAAATGTTTTCTGGAAGTCCATTGCTGTGAACCAAACAGAGTCTAAGTTGATCTGCCTAGAACATTACTTCCTTTGATTAGCGAGGACGTCATCAAGGTATCTGCCGACATGCATAGAGTTGGTTTTCTTACCATCTTTTTGGCATTGGATATCACTATTTAATAAGAATTCAGGCGCATCCCATGGTATAGTAGAAGAAGATAAGGTTGGAGCCACATTTGTGTTAGAGACTAAAGCAATTGCCCATGTTGAGTCAGGGCAATTGCACGTATCAACTTTTCGTGGTGGTTTGTGTCTTTTTATGGTTTGTTTCGTCAAATCAAAAGAGAATTCTACCAAAAATTCATCACATAACGATGACGATGACGATGATAAGTTTTACACTTTTCTTTTTCCATTCGATGGCCGGAACCGCTTGGAATTTCCGGTACCAACAACATAACTTTGGGAATTGCTTAAAACCATGCATTTTGGATGTTACAAAAAGTGAGATAAGAGGAGAAAACGGGATTGTTGTGGCAGCCAAGGCGATTGGAAACAAAATTAAGGATGGAATTTAAGTTGGCTTAGCTTTAAACAAGAATCATATGGATGAATTCATTACTGTTTATGAGCAAAGTGTGAAGCTCCTTTGATTCGAGTTATTATATAGGAGTATTTATTCTTCACCTTCCAAGTTTCAACCAATTTCGAAACTTAAGTGCAGCGTTTTATGCAAGACTCTCATACACTACATCTTGTACTTTGTACTTGTAATAATTTGGAGTCAGGAGAATATAGGCGCTAATTTTGAAATTAGAAGGTTATTAATTAATCAGTTAATTTGTCAATTATGCTTTTTTTTTATCTCAATTATTGTTTTAACTTTTCCTAATTATTATAGGTTTTTAGTTCTAAGTAATTTCTTTCCTCAAATACTTGAAGATTTGGTGCGATGATATAGTTAGGCAGCTTCTTGGTTATTTCTAAGTACTGACTCTTTCTTGTATAAAATAAAAAAATAAAAAATAAAAAAAATAATCCATCCTGTTTTCTGCCTAACAATAATTAGTGCCAGTGTCACTAACAAAAGACAAAAGTGCGCATCCCCTGTTTGAAGAAGAAGAAGAATTGAATAACCAAATTGGGCATAGCAAAACACTTAATCGGCGGAATTCAGAGTTGAGGTTTGAGACTACTCTACCAAACAGTTCACCTTTTCTTTCTTTTTTCCCTCTTTAGGATAGTTAGTAAACAATGGGTAATTGTCTTTCATCTGGGAATGCTCATACCGAAAACCGTCCAAGAAAATCCAAGACGTCTTGTTTCAAGGTTTGTCTCTTCTCTTTCTATACTTATTTTAACTTGTGATATCGGTTTGCCTATGATTCAATTAAGTTTTTTTTTCTTGGATTAAAGATATTTGTACATCCTTTCAATATCAAATTTCTATCTCTAGTAGAGGGTTCAAGGGTTTGAGATTTTTGTTACTTTTCGTCCAATAATTGTCCCGCTGATTTTGGCCTTAAGTGGTGGAAAGCTACATTAAATCAAATCAAATAATGGTGGTAGTCTTTTGAACAAAAAAAATATTAATGGCGGTAGTAGATATTTTTTTTTAAATAGTAAATAAAGTCCATGACTTTATTATTATTAGTATTACTACTATGACTATTATTATCCTTATGAAGTGTCGCTGTTGCGGTGGGAAGAATGAAGAATCAGAACTTTCTTCAACAAAAAAGAAAGAAAGAAAGAAAGAATCAGAACTTTCTATTTTTGTCTATTTTATTAGGGGTTTTTTTTTTTTTTGGGTAGTAACTCTGTTCATGCCATGGAGTTTAATTAAGCTGAAGCGGGGTGCTTTGAGTTGTCCGCCCTTCTTAAATTATTAGTAAAGTAAAGTGTGGGCTAATATCGTGAAATTGACTGATATGTCCTCGCCTGAGTAGTTTAATTTCGGAAAGCAGGAAACGCCCTTCCCTTCTTCACCTAATTCATAGTCTTATTAGGCCCCCTACGGCCTACAGGGGGAGGAGGAGAGAGATAACGGAGAGAAGCCAAGCAAACAAGCGGAATAATTATCGTTGGTCTTAAGGCTCCACTACCAATTTGCCAAGTGGAATCTGACGTCCGATTTTCTTAGTTTTAAATGAGAATTATTATTATTAATTTTTTTAATAATTAATAATGATGATGGATTTGGCTTCCTGGCTGACTCCATTATTAACGTAAGATTCAATCCCTTGCCGTTCCTTTAGCAGCCTCCTACACGTTCCTAGTTTTAGACTTGAAATCAACAAAATTCCAAACAATGAATATCCCCTGTAATTACTTTCTTCAAATTTATTCACGTTGATCTTGTGTGCCCTCTATACTTCTTTCTAGCGAACAAGTCAACAATATCCTCCTCTTTAAACGCTTCATATATCAAAAACAATACTACATTTCTTAAACACTTCAGATCCCCTGTTAACG